AGGGTTTTAGGGTTTATAGGGTTCAAAGGGTTTAGGGTTTGAGGATTATAGGGTTTAGGGTTTATCGCTGCAGGCATCTATGACGCGGCTGGCAAAGACCTTGGCGGCCATCAAAGAGCTTCCCCATTATTTGGTTCCGTGCTCTATCTGATATTTATTCCCATGCATGCGCTGTGCCGTGTGAGTCCATGCAAGTACGCGAGCTTGTGTATACATGCGGGTGCCTGTGGCGGGCCCTGGCAAGGAATGATATTCTGAGATTAGCCGACCGATTCGAAACCAAGCAGGGCTGGGGCTTGGAGCGAGAGTTCGCTGCGTGGAGTTTGACATTAAGCTGGCGGTCTTGCCTGCCCGAGCCGTACGAGTTGCCTGATCGCATGTCATGTTGGTCACGCACCCACTTGCAAGTCAGATTGGCCAGTTTTCGTAATATCGAACTTGCAAGCTTAAAGGCTGCAGGTGCCGCGAGCAGGGCACTCAGAATACATTGCAGCTAACAACCCGCCATGCCACTATTTTTTTTCGTCAGGTGCCCTTGCCTCCTGGGTCTAGACAGAAGACTGTGCGGATCGGCGTCCTGTTGCCGCATGAGATCTTTGCGCAGCTGTACACGTACGGCAACCATGAACTTTTCCACAGCCTCTTGAGCGGCACCCCTGACGTGTCTTGCATGTATTAGAATTTGACCATTGAATGGGTTTTTGCCGGGTTCTGCCGGGTTTTGCCGGGTTTTGTTTTTACCTCGTTTTTGTTATCTGGAGGGGAGGCCGGGGGGTGGAGGGGCTGGAGGGGCTGGAGGGGCTGGAGGGGCTGGAGGGCTAAGGGCTGGAAGGGAGGGCTGGAGGGGTGCAGACCTGGAGGGCTGGGGCTGGAAGGGGGGTGCAAAATCGAGCAAATTCACGGGCTGGAGGGGGCTGCAGGGCTTGGGAGCTAGAGGGGGCAGGGGCTGGAGGGCTGGAGGGGGGGCTTGGGCTGGAGAGGCTGGAGGGACTTGGAGCTTCCCGGTTTGGACCTCCCAAACCGGGTGCAGGCTGAAAGGGGCTGCAGCTTGAATCCTTTTGGTTCCTTGCATTGCGATTGTGAACTGCAGGATTATTGTACGAGCTACTCGTAATGAATCACATACCATTACTATTTATCCTGGCCTTGAGGGTTTAGGGTTTATAAGGTTTAGGGTTTATAAGGTTTAGGGTTTAGGGTTTAGGGTATACCATATATGGTATATGTATATATATATATATATATTATCTATATCTATAGGAGCTGAGACGCTTCTGGGCGAACAATGGCGATCTATCGGACCAAGTCAAAGAAGCGTTCGGTTCGGACGTATCTCAACTGCAAATATATCTATATATATATATATTTCTTACAATATATATATATATATCTTAGAAAACATATATTGCACGCATGCTGCTGAGAAGGTACTTTTGGCAAACACGATCCCCTGGCGCCTCTACGGGGACGGCGCTGAAGTTTTCGGTGCCATGCTCATGCAGCCATGCATGCGTGCATGATCTAGATTGCATCGATGGATTAATTTGACACGTGCAGGCAGCTCCAACTTCGAACTCCTAAGCCTCGTTTCGGTGGTGCCAGGGCGCACCAACACGTTGGACACACGAATTCCGCTTCTGCACTTAAATTGTATATATATATATATAATATGCATTCATGCATGCATGCATCATGTGATTGAGGCTTCCGTTTTTGTACATGCATGCATTCCAAGGATAGCAATTCGAAGCACCACCACCTCCGGCGAGGACAGTCCGGTACAATCGATCATGCGCATGCATGTATATGCAGCCTATGCAGCTATATATATATAGTGCGTTATATTTTCGCCTTGCAGGACTGCCGCAAATTACTTTTGGAGATTATCGCATGGTCATTTCGATGTTTAGGCGCCGTGCGGTGCAATGACATGCATGTACGATTTTATATCCATGCAGTCGAATGCACATGCACTCATGTGTACCGAAGCACGCTTGCTGAGGAGATGGCCGCTGGCCTCAGACAGATCCTTTCGGATCTCCGTGGCCCAAAGGTTCTGTCAGGTCGTTAAATGCTGGCAAGAAGCTCGCCGGACCCTGGCGTGCGGTGTTCGGTGGATTACAGGGCGACCAGGACTTCCTACACAAGATTCTGAACTTCAAAAGAATCTCCGCGCGTATATGTGTGTGCATGCATGCTACTAGTGATTGAAACCCTACAAACCCTAAACCCTAAACCTTATAAACCCTAAACCCTATAAACCGTAAACTATAAACCCTCAACCCTAAACCCTATACCTTAAACCCTAAACCCTAAACCCTATAAACCCTATAAACCCTATAAACCCTATATATAGTAAGATATACGCATGCATGCTGCTGAGGATCATGGCACTCCAAGCGTGTCGAATGCTGCCACTACTGTGAGGCGCATGCATGAATACAGACGGAGCGGCCAATTGTTATATATATATATATAGAGAATTTTAAATTTGTCGATTTCAATCTGCACGCATGCAGGCCACCCAGATCCTGAAACCAGGCGGCGACGCTCGCATGCTGTACACAGAGTACGGTCCAGATGCAGCGCACAGAGAGACGCGCCTTGCCACGTAGAAGTGCGCGGCTGACAAGTTCATGCGTGCGTGGGTGCATTCCCCTTGACACGTGCCAATGCCCTAGGGTGCTGCAGACCAGAGAAGACTGGGTGGCCGTGCATGGGCAGAATGTCATCACTGGCATGGTTGGCTTCTCACCTCGGAGTTTTCTGTCCAAAGTTCATTAATACTTTATCCGAGCTCTTTCCATGTTTGTCTGTTTTCTGTAGTCGACTAGCATGCATGTGCATCTTATGAGCCGAGCGCTGAAACAGGAATTTTCCCAGACATCCTGCATGTGCTGGATCTGCAGATCAGCCCAGACTGCATTACAAGCGCTCTCTTGGACTTCTCGGACAAGGGGGTTTTGGATGGCAGATCAAGGGACGCCCGCCTGGATGTCATCGCCCAGAAGTACTTCACTTGGTGTGCCTCCGAAGGATCATTGGCTGTTCGTACTGCCTAGCATGCGAGCGCAATCCAGTCGATTTCACACGCATGCATGGATGCAAATGTGCAGGAGTCACTGTCAAAGCGAGCCCCAAGCTGTTCCTTATCAAAACGATGCTGGCAGATGGACCTGGGACCTACCCAAGGGTGTCCCAGAAGTTCTTGAAAGGTGCTGCTTCGAGATTCGTGATTTACTTTTTGATGGAGTTCTCTCGCGAGATGCACCGGAAGACTGGTGACCGCCTCGATGCCTGCCGAGCCCATCTCTTTTCCGCTTTGGCCTCGCTGCTGACATTGTTTGCTGAGCATGGGAAGCCTGCCTGAAAAAGCATGCATGCATGCATGCAAAACACGTTCTGCAGCACACATATACAATACCTGGTTTCGGATTTGGGCTGTAGGGTTTTTGGCTGTATGGGGTATAATGCTTCCTAGCCTCCACTGTGTGACATGCCCATGCAATAAGATCTATAGGCGCTACTTCAATGTCGATGCCTGCAGCGACGACCATCCGGAACTTCTCGCACAGCATGCGTACTTGTCCTATCGGTTCCACTACAACCAGATGGTCCAGTGGGCACTGAGCCAGAACCTCCTCAGATACCAGCTCAGACCAAAAATTCACATACTGGAACATGTGCAGCCCGCCTTGCGATGAAGATCATCCGTGCATGCATGCTTGATAATATATATATATACTATATATATGTATAAGTATATATATATATATATGTATGTATTTATAGATATATACGTGCATATAAATATAAATATAAATATAAATATAAATATTAATATATATATATATATATATATATTATATGTATATATATATATATTGTTGAAAAAGTAGCAGATCGATTTATATAGGCTCACACACATGCGTGTCCTATTTGTTTTCTTCTTTCACTATAAGGATCCTGGACTTTATCCCGGACATTGGCAACCCAAGATACTACAGCTGCTTCCTGGACGAGGATCTGATAGCCAAAATGAAGTACCTAGCCTGCAATTGAGTGGCCTGGATACATGCATACATACGTGCGTGCAGCCCTGTCCATCCACCCACATGTGCAAGGAAGATCGTTGAACACACTCACCCGAAGACAATGAGTGTGCGAGCTCTGGAGCATTATGCTGTCATGGCGGCTATGCGATGGACAGGAGGCTTCTCCAACCCGCGCGCGTGAAAAATGAAGATGGCCGCACTCACATGCATGCATGCCCTATATAAACCGGAACCCTCAACCGCATAGTATTTGAAGTTTCCCGCTTCGCACGCATATATAAGTTAATTGAGCATGCGTGTTTTCCCCGTTTTGTAAACGTGTTGTATAGCTAAAGAAGAACCTAAACGAACTATACGGTCGACCTACATAAAGGCCGACCTATACGTACACCCGGCCTGTGCTGGTATGTAATAACCCTCGTAATATTCAAGCAGACATATGATACTTATATTTTTAAAAATGATAGAATGTGCATACTATGTATGGGTCCGGCCCATGTCCGGGTGAGTCCAGGTCCGGGTGGGTCCGGGTCCGGGTCTGGGTCCGGGGGGGGGTACGGACGTTGAGGCGCGAGACAAGGGAAATTACGGCACCTGAAAACATAGTAAAAGGGTTTGATTACGATTGCACTACACCTACCGCTAAGGAACAATATGAAGCAAGACTAGGGCAGGCTTGTCACAATCCATCTCCGCAGCGCAGCCCTATTTCGGCACACGGCTTGAAGAATGTTCTTTCGAAGGCTATAGTCCGGGACTCGAGGCCTTAGGCCTTAGGCCAGTGCACTCTCGGCATTGCCAAGCACAACGGCTGAGAGGCGACAGTAAAGGGGCAGAAGCCTCGCGTGCCTGATAAGCCTCTGCTAAGATCGACCTCCAGGATCCCCAGAGCTTGTCGCACAGGTGCAAGCTGCACGGAAGCAGAGTTTTGTGTGTCCACTGCTTTCAATCCTTGCCCGACCACTTCCAGATCAGCCAGTTGCTGCATCCAATCTGGAAAGAAGGACGGAGGTCGTCGAAGGCAAGGTATCCGACGGCCTTCAGCGCACAAGCGCAGAAGCTGATCCATCCGACCGTGAACACCAAGGCAACCGTGATCTTCTCTGAGCGCTTTATTGGGTCCTCCAGTCCACAGTGAGGTGACTCAATGTTGTCTGTGGCGGGCCGAGTCTTGAGGAACTTCCAGTAGAGGACTGCTGGGTAGATCTGGGTCACCCAGGGAATGGTGAGAGCTGTCACAAAGTCCACCAAGGTGTCGATGCTTGGGACAAAGGTGCTTAGAAACAAGGCCGACAAGAAGGTGGGCAAGGAGTAGCCCAGGTACTTGAGGATGTCAGGCAACCTCCACGTGTCCTTGAAGTCTGGGGCCCAGCACTTCTGGCAAAACCTTCCCAGCGGGACCGAGTCGAGCATGTAACACACAAAGTTCCCCATCATTTGGAAGATGTTGAAGAAGGTGTTGATCAAGTTCCCACGGGCAAAAACACCCACACCCGTCGTGGCGGCGATGACCTCCCCCACGTTGTACCCCCAACGAGCCACAACAAGGGTGCCAACGACCACGAAGAGCGCCACGTTGAGGATTCCGGCCATCCACAGCGACTTCTTGAAGTCGGCAGGCTTCCGCATACAAGTGCTTAGTTCCACAGTGAGGAACGCGGGAATGAATGCCCAAGCACCGATGGTGAAGCCACTGGCAAGCCTCACAAGCCTCAAGCCCAACTTAGGCTCTGGGTTCCCAATCCACTGAGCAGGGATTCTGGGAACATGCTCGTACTGGAAGGCCGCAAGCACCATGCAAATCACCATGCCGATGACGCAAAGGAAGGAGATCTCTGTGAAAGTCTTCGCGTTGGTAAAGGTCCTAACTTGCGTCGTGAGTAAGCAGACCGCTGCAACCAGCCACACGTAGTAGTCCATACAGTCGCCCAGCCCGCCAATTTCAACCATTGAATACAAGGAAATCGCACAGAAGGTAAGAGCACATGGCATGTAAAGGCAGAAATTACCGAGCTGCAATACGTTGCCCCACACCTGCGCCTGTCGGCCACCCACCTCGAAGCCGAGATCTCCGAAAGTTTCGCAGTGCGGGTACTGGATCTTCATCTCCAGGAGCATGTTGGCTCCAGCAACCGAGGCCCAGGTGAGGATCAAGCACAAAGCGATGCCCCCCACATAGCCGGCATTGGCAATTGCGAAAGGGACAGCCATCACAGCGGAGGGTGCTGCGAATGTAAAGACGGTGATGCCGGCCTCCTTCCAGCCCATGTGGCCCGCAACCTGGCCCCCATCCTGAGCAGCAACGAGCGGGGCGCTTGGAGCACTTGGAGCACCTGGCACGCCTCGTGTCTCACTCATGGCAAGAGACTACGGGCTCCTAGGGCTCCTAGAGCAAGCAAGGGCTTGAGCATCCCAGAGTCTCAAAGACACCAAAATGTCTCCCAAAGAAGCCTTCCCCCCCCCGGAGGTCGCCTAGTTCTGGTGGGACTCCGAACAGCGCACCAGGCTTCCCCAAGTGCTAACAAATCGCGGATGCGGCCTGTAAGTTGGCTTTGGGCAGCATGGTCGCCGGCACTTGGAGACCACGAAGTCGAGAAGGGTGAGATGAACTCTCAAGTTTTGGTCTAGGCAAGCTGGCACCCCGCACCGCCCCCCAAAAAAAAGAGGCTCCAAAAACAGAGCAGAAGTAAATTGATCTGACAGGTCCCGGAGGCCAAATGGTCAAGCTATTTAAACATTTGACGGCCTGTCATTTTGACTTTGCAAAGCTATTTGTCTAGTCAAAGCCTCCGAAATCTCCGGGAAGCAGGGGCAAAGGACCCGAAAACGGCCCCAGGGGGCCCCTGGCAGGGAACGTGAGGGCTCCCCTAAACATTATTGAGCGAATATGTGTTTTTGATATATGTATGTTTCGTTCAAGACTTGCGTTTCTCAAGTTTCGCTAAAGGTTTTTTTTTTTTCAAAACGTGACTGGGACCCAAACCCCACTACACAATGACTGTAAGCCGAAACCCTACAACGGTTGTTTAAGACCCGTCAAACAATACGTAAAGGTCCTTGCCACACACACATATATATCTATGTATACGGATGTATATATATATATATATATATATATATACATATATATATATATACATGTGTGCATATGTTTGTCTACATCGGGGACGACCTTTTCCTAGGACCCCACAGACTTTCGTTGAACGTTCTGAGTCCTGTTTTGGGGTGACACAACACTACCTTCGAACTCTGCCTGTGGCCCCGCAGAAGGGCCGGCCCGGCTGCCGAGGCGCGTGCAAGCGCTAACAATTTACGGCCAGAACCTGTGTGGTGGTAAATTCTATTCATTGCTTTATCTCCAATATATTTGCCTAATGCAAATATTCATTATGGTTTACCGCAGCAAGCTTCTCTACACAAAATGATTGCTTTGGCCGTTATTTCTCGATGTGCTTGTTGTTTAGTGCCGAATGGCCCCGAGCCTTACCCTAAGCCCCTCCAGCAGCCTGAAATCCGAATGCTTAAAAATCTCAAGCCCTCGAACCAAAACCCAACAGTTTTGCCCGCATACACAGACTTGAGCCCAGGCTGCGGTGTTTTCTTTGGGCCGGTGGGCCGGCCCATGCCGCTAGGCCCAAAATGTGGAATGTTCATGAAGATGCCCTCGTTTAAAGATGATGAACCGAAGAAGAACCGGAAAATGTTGAAGGCAGATTCTCTAAAGGGTACTGGGCGTTGTAATTGCAGGCTTTCCGGGAGTCCTGGCAGCATGTCAGCACACTTAGACTGCCGCGAGTAGAAAAAGGCAATGTGGGAACTGCTTCCTTGGGATCCCGTTTTGGCGGAGTAGACACCTCGTGGCAGCAAGGTTTGCAGGACATAAAGATGCGCTGCACAACCTCAACATTTAGCACCATTCCATGGAATTTCACACGTTCGGGCGTCGCACTTCAAGGCGCATTCGGCAACGCCAAATTTCTTCGGTCAAAGCTGCCGATGCATCAAGGTGCCTCTTCGACAGAAAGGCTGCAGGGACCAGGATGCCATGTTTCCTCTCTGGTCACCTGCTATGAACGCCGGTTTAAGGCCACTCGCGAAACTAAGTTCATAAGCCCTCCCAAATTGCGAGAATGATAGCTGGCAGCGTGTGGCGATGGTTCTGATGAAGAGCGTGACTCTGATCACACTAACCTGGAGAAAAGCAGCCGCCGAGTGTCGCAGGGGGCATGAGATGTGAGGTTGCAAGCTTAGGTAAAACCTTGCCATGTGCACGTCTGAAGCTGGGGGCGCCTGGAGTCAAACAAGCCAATGTGCCAAGCACCAAAACGGCCTTTTTTGTGCTTCGTCCATGCGAGGGTGGCCCGGCATTTTCATGCTTCGCTGGGCCAACCCCTCGAAAAATGCCTCATTTAACCTGGGCACAGGACTTGCAGGTTTCTACTCGCACCTTGTGAGCTACGGCAAGGGCCAGCTGCCGGATTGCAGATCTTCTTCGCGGTTCCTTAAAATGAGCGTCTCTTGTCGCGAAGCAAACAAATTCAAACGCCTTTACTCTTCGAGGTTCCCTATTTTGTGTGCATCTTGAGGCCTGTCGCAGAGCAAACAAAATCAAACGCCTTCCCTCTGCGAGGTTCCCTATCATGTGTGCATCTTGAGGGCCGTCGCAAAGCAAACACATTCAAGCCACTTTCCTCTTCGAGGTTTCCTATTTCGCGTGCATCTTGAGGGCTGTCGCAGAGCAAGTTCACACGAGTCCGTTCCGAATGCACCCTATGCTTAGAATGCGGAGAAAGCACCGCACGCTGCTTTTTCACATTGGCAGAAAGTAGAATCCGATCGGTAGAAACGGCAAGCACCAAAGGTGCCGGGCAGAGAAAGAAAGCTGGACCGGAGTACGCCAAAGATTTCAGGCGAATGCTTGACCCGAAGGGTGACGCAGGCCAGCATTTTTCAAGCGCTCGCCAGGAAACGAGAGATATCCAGCTCCAGAGGGTAAGTGTGCGTACGCAACGGACACGCAGCATGCACTTCACCTCGGAGCCAGGGCTGCGACACGCAAATTCAAACGCCAATCCTCTTCGAGGTTACCTATTTTGTGTGCATCTTGAGGCCTGTCGCAGAGCAAAAATCTTTCCTTTTCGAGGCTTTTTATTTTGCGTGGATCTTGAGGCGAGTCGGCGAGAAAAGAAATTCAAACGCCTTTCTTCTTCGCGGTTTCGTATTTTATGTTCATTTTGAGGCCTGTCACAGAGCAAGCACATCGAGGTTTCCTATTTTGTGTGCATCTTGGTGTCTTTCGCAAAACAAGCAAATTCAAGCGCCTTTGCTCTTCGAGGTTTTCTATTGTGTCTGCATCGCCTTTCGCAGAGCAAGCAAATTCCAACAACTTTCCCTTTCAAGGTTCCCAATTGTGTGCAGCTTGGGGCCTTTCGCAAAGCAAACAAAAAGAAATGCCCTTCCTCATCGAGGTTTCTTTCGTGTGTGCAGCTTGGGCCTTTCGCAGAGCAAGCAAATTCAAACGCCCTCTTCGAGGCCACCTATCTTGTGTCTTGTGTGCATCTGGGGGCCTTGCGCAGAGCAAGCAAATTCAAACGCCTTTCTTCTTCGAGGTTTCATGTTTTGTGTACATTTTGGGGCCTTTTGCAGAGCAAGCAAAATCAAATGCCTGTCCTTTTCGAAGTTTCCTATCTTGTGTGCATGTTGGGGCCTTTCGCAAAGCAAGCAAATTCAATCTTCTTTGCTCTTCGAGGTTTCCTGCTTTGTGTGCATCTAGGCGCCTTTCGAAAGTAAACAAATTCATTCGCCTTTCCTCTTCAAGGTTTCCTATATTGCATGCATCTTGGGGCATTTCGCAGAGCAAGCAAATTCAAACGCCTTTCCTCCTCGAGGCTTCCTATTTTGTGTGCATCTTGGGGCCTTTCGCAGAGCAAGCAAATTCAAACATCTTTCTTCTTGAAGGTTTCCTACTTGTGTGCATCTTGGGATTCAAACGCCTTTCCTTTTCGAGGTTTCCTATTTGTGTGCATGTTGGGGCTTTTCGCAGAGCAAACGAATTCAAACGCCTTTCTTCTTCGAGGTTGCCTAGCTTATGTGCATCTTGGGGCCTTTCGCAAAAGCAAGCAAATTCAAACGCCTTTCCTCTTCGAGGTTACCTATTTTGTGTGCATCTTGGGGCGTCTAGCAGAGCAAGCAAAATCAAGTGCCTTTCCTCTTTGAAGTTTCCTACTTTGTGCGCATCTTGCGGCCTTTCGCAGAGCAAGCAGATTCAATCGTCTTCGAGGTATCTATGTTGTGTGCATAAGCAAATTCAAACGCATTGCCTTTTCGAGGATTCCTGTTTTGTGTGCATCTTGGGGCCTTTCGCAGAGCAAGCCAAATCAAGCGCCTTTTCTCTTTGACGTTTCCTATTGTGTCTGCATCTTGGGGCCTTTCGCAGAGCAAGCAAATTCCAACGCCAGTCCCTCTTCGAGGTTTCCTATTCTGTGTGTTTCTTGGGGCATTTCGCAAAGCAAGCAAATGCAAACGCCTTCCCCTTCGAGGTTTACTGTGTTTTGTTTGGGGCCTTTCGCAGAGCAATCTGCTTCAAACGCCTTTCCTTTTCGAGGTTTCCTATCTTGTGTGCATCTTGGGGCGTTTCCCTGTTTTGTGTGCATCTTGGGGCCTTTTGCAAAGCAAACAAATTCAAGCGCCTTTCCTCTTCGAACTTTCCTATTTTGTATGCATCTTGAGGCCCAGAGGAAGCAAATAGAACGCCTTTCCTCTTCGAGGTTTCCTATTTTGTGTGCATCTTGGGGTGTCTAGCAGAGCAAGCAAAATCAAGTGCCTTTCCTCTTTGAAGTTTCCTACTTTGTGCGCATCTTGCGGCCTTTCGCAGAGCAAGCAGATTCAATCGTCTTCGAGGTTTCCTATGTTGTGTGCATAAGCAAATTCAAACGCATTGCCTTTTCGAGGATTCCTGTTTTGTGTGCATCTTGGGGCCTTTCGCAGAGCAAGCCAAATCAAGCGCCTTTTCTCTTTGACGTTTCCTATTGTGTCTGCATCTTGGGGCCTTTCGCAGAGCAAGCAAATTCCAACGCCAGTCCCTCTTCGAGGTTTCCTATTCTGTGTGTTTCTTGGGGCATTTCGCAAAGCAAGCAAATGCAAACGCCTTCCCCTTCGAGGTTTACTGTGTTTTGTTTGGGGCCTTTCGCAGAGCAATCTGCTTCAAACGCCTTTCCTTTTCGAGGTTTCCTATCTTGTGTGCATCTTGGGGCGTTTCCCTGTTTTGTGTGCATCTTGGGGCCTTTTGCAAAGCAAACAAATTCAAGCGCCTTTCCTCTTCGAACTTTCCTATTTTGTATGCATCTTGAGGCCCAGAG